TCTCATATCTGATGCCATTTAATCTTAACAACAACCTGATAAGCAGATACAGGTTATCACTATATGCAAAGAACTTATGTTTCTTATCCATTCAAGGTCATGTTTTTTAGTCACTAAGTCACCTCTGACTTCTTGTGACCCATGGACTGTAGCCCACCAGGCTCCTCTGTCCATGGGATTCTCCAGGCAAGAACACTGGAGTGGGGTGCCATTTCCTCCTCCAGAGGACCTTCCCGACCCAGGGATCGACCCCCATCTCCCACACTGGCAGGTGGGTTCTTTACTGCTGCACCACCAATGCCACAGAGCTTAGGAAATAACAGAACTCAAGCTCAAAACCAGAACTTCAGACTCTACACAGATCCTTCCCCTCCTGTTATAACAAAATTAGCATTTTGTTTGATGCTGATATTCTGTGATTGTTTCCTCAAGGCACCAAAATAATATGAACACTAAAATTTGGTGGTTCTAAATCTTTCTGGGGTTCACAGGCCCTTTTTGAAAATAAAATCTGTGGAACCACTCAAAAGAAAAAAAAAAAGCACAGAAAATTTTGGGGCTTCGTGGGCCCCTGGTTAAAAACTCTATACAAGATTGAAATTTGAAAGAGAGAAGAGATATACCATATGCTTCACAGTGCACAGCTGACAAGAATAAGAATTTAAGAAGTATTCAAGTAATGATTATAAGCACTTAATTTTCTTGATATTCTCATTGGAAATACTCAAGGAGCCCCTGTGAAGACAAATATTTTAGTATGGCTTTACTAGAAAAATCCAATGAAAGACAAAAATAAAGTCATTCATTGAGAAGGCACAAACATTAACTGAGCTTCACTATATGCTACAGACTTTATATCATATCCTTTTTAGCCTGAAAGCAGTCTCAAAAGTAACATTATCAGCTTTTTATGAATAAGGAAACGAAAGCTCGAGAGGCTGATTAATTTGCCCCAAAACTTAAGGCCAACAACCAAGCAAAGACATAATTCAGATCAGTCTAGGATGGAAGAAACTTGGTTCTTCCTATATCACCCAACATTTAGCTTGAAAGCACAGAATGTTAGTAGAGAAGGAAATAGTAACCCACTCCAGTATTCTTGCCTAGAGAATCCCATGGACAGAGGGGCCTGGTGGACTATAGTCCATGGGGTCGCAAAAGAGTTGGATATGACTGAGCAACTGAACAATAATAGAATGTTAGAGAAGCAGGAAAAAAAAAAAAACTATGACAGGAAGTTTAAAGAACAGGTAGTTAGAAGATCAAAGACCAGGCAAAACACTGCAGTGATATGACAGAATCATCTAGATCACAATATATCTGGTAGGGACTGGGAGACAGAATAGTGACTGTTAAGAACGATTCTAATTCTTACTCTGCCCCCAACTGAATGATAATCTTGGACTAACTGTTTAATCTTTCTGGAATTTAGCTTCCTCATCTGTGAAATTATGGATGATGGGTGACATAAAAACTTAAATTTCTAAATTTCTTCACAATTCTAAAAACATTTTCACATGAACTATTTCCATTACACTCTACTGACCAGGGATTTTTGCTTCATTCACTGCTATATCTGCAGTTTCTGGCTGAGGCAAAGTAGACACAAAATATGAGTTAATAGAACACATGAATTTGCTCCATTCCCTGTGAGGAATGCAGTATAGGACAGGTATTTATTATGCTTATTTCACACATGAGAAAAACCAAAATCCAAAAAATTTGAAATACTTGCTCACAGTCCCACAGCTAGATGAGAGAAGAGGATACAAACTCCCTCAAGTCTTCCAATTACTAGTTCAAAAATTATTTCCAGGTCTAACATTTTTTATATTTTAATATAATCTCAAGCAGTCACACAAAAGAATAATGAACTCTTCTTATTCCCATCTTTGCAGAGAGGGGGGGAAAAAAGCCATTAGAAAGGTGTTACTATAAAAAGCAGTGACCAACAGATTCAGAATAATGATCTTAAACAATACCCAACATGCAATAATGTTACATATATGAACTAAAGGACATAAAATCCAATTTCTGACTTCTTTGATTATATGTTAGTATATTTTCTATATTCCACAGTGAGTCTACACTCATAATTATGGTTGGCTACTTTCCAAATGTTGGCTATTAATCATAAAAGAGAAGGGGCTCCAATCTATCTAAGTAAGGTTGAAATTCAAACTATGAAACCTACTGCAGCCTGCCTCAGTGACTGGAGGCAAAGGAATTCATCTCCCACTCTAAACCTTAAGATCAACTGAATTATGAAAGAAAAGTCTTGACAGGGCAGCATGAGCTGGAAATATCTATTCAGACAGAAACAGAAACAAAATAAGAGCCCTAGGGCAAAGCTCTACTCTCCAAGACTCTCAGAAGCACAAAAGTGCATTTCAAGAACCTAAGTGGGGAAGAAGATGGGCTGGCTCGAGAATAACACCTTCAGACTTGAGAACCTACTTGTGACACAGCAATGTAGCCTCCTGCCTTGAGGCCACAGGCTTGTAGGAAAATCACTGCACGTACTGGGTAGAAAATTCTTTTATTAAAAAAAAAAAAAGAAGATAGCAAACTTACCCAAAGATAAAATCCTTTGTTTCAAACATAAATAATTTCTGAAAATGAAATGGCCTCTCTAGAAATCAAGTCGTTTAAATACAAGGATACAGACCAAAATATTTAGGCAATATATAAGAGGGCGTTTGTAAAGTGAGAATTTTAGTATATCTCAGAAAAGTTTCTTAAAGGAATCTCATGCAAATATACTTCTCTTCTGAAAGTAAATAAATAAACTGAATATTCTCTTCAGTTCTTCTAAGAGGACTTCATTAGGTATGTGCCTAAGATAAGTGGGCAGTTACACTCAGCTCTTCTCACAGCACTCGAATAAAGCAGACTATCACGGGTAACTCTGGAACCTCAGGGAGCCCCAATCTACACTGCCCCCAGAACCACGCCATGGACGGCTACAAGGTGGTGCTGATCCCACAGAGGATGAGTACACGGACCTGGAGGATGGCTTCACTGGCTGGTGAGAAGCCAACATGAGCACTGTGGGCATCAGGAGGTGAAGCACAACAGGCAGGTGCTACAAGATACTGGTTATGAGCCTGACATCTGCTTCACCACGTGCAGAAGCAAGCAACTGGGACTCTCTGGACAACACTGGATGCCACTACTGTGGCTGGCAGTAGTGCAGACTTAGCCTCAACAAGGCAGATGTTGCTGCCAAGCAGGATGAAGCCAAGTAAAGATCTGGAGGTGCTGTGCTGTTCTATCATCTCCAGTGTAGCCTGACCATCCCTTCAACAGCAACTCCCATTAGTAAGACTGCAGGTATGCAGACCTCAATAACCATCAGCTACCCTCCTGTGAAAGTCTGAAGGACACTACTGCCAGAGTACTGCCCCTTTGGAATGAAAAAATAGTTCCCCAGAGGGAGGAGGGGGAGAGGGTAGTGAATACATCCCTTAGCATCAGGCTTCAGGACATGGTCAGCCCTCTGGAGGGGCTCTCTGAAGAGGCTATCGTGGAGTTGCACCTGCCTCCTGGTATTCCCACTGGACAAGAACTTGCAGCCCATCAAGCCCATGCAGTTCCTGGGAAATGAAGAGCCCATGTGTGGCGTCGTGGAGGCTGTGGCTGCCCAGGGCAAGGCCAATTAAGTGAAGCCAAGCAAGGACACCTTGCTTTCCCCAGGACATGCGCCCTGCCACTCCATTCCTCTGCACCTCTTCCCTGCAAGTCTGTGGGCATCTAAAGTTGTATCTCCAGATGTGGATCAGTGGCTCCTAATTTTACTCTAGCCATTTCGTCTCTTGCTCCCACTCCTTTCATACAGTCTAGTCAGAACAGCACCTATGGGGCATGGGTTCTCAGTCCAAGCCAAAGAAAGACTTATTCAAGAGGGTAGAAACGCAGTAACTCTGGGATTTTTTTTTGCTAGTGCTTTGTTTATTACTAAAGCCCTGCTTGAGTAGGAGACTGGCAGGAACCATGCTAAGGTGTGATCAATAAGAAGGAATAAGCTAGCTTATTTGTGTTGCCAGAAGCTAGTCCTATACTATTCTGTGGCCAGGTAACTGTCAAAGAGACTCTAGTTATTCCATAGAAGACAAATGTAGACTGCATGGGGTTCAAACAAATATTCCCTCTGTTACTCCAGAGGAAATGACTCTAGAATATTGAGATCCATCCTGTTTATGTGTTCACATTTACTTTTACCACACACACAGACATAAATATATATGTATATATATATATACACACACACGCACCCCCCACATACACCGCATCTGTATTTGCACATATTTATATATTTCATGTATTATTTATATACATATTAATATTAGAAATGCCAACAATAACAAAAACCCTCTGAGGTTTCTAGTGTCGGTTGGCATCAGAATACAAATCACTCCTTACACCAACCTGAGACAAGCTCCTTAACGTCTCAGGGGCAGGACCTGATCCTGCCTTACTATTTTATGACAATGAGACACCTCCTAATCATGTCCAAGAGTGTCTTTCACCGCCAGATTTCTGAATCATGTTCCAACAGTCTGGCCCTGCCACCCTGGTTCAGTATTTACTTTGAGTTTAACTGTACTAAATCTTATTTCCAGAACAATGTAATCAAAGAATGATATTGCAATTAAAAAAAAAAAAAAGGAGTATCTGGGTAAGAGGGGGGACAAGTATTATCAGTAAGTGGGATGAAAGACTCTGAACTGTCACATGATTGGACAATTGGGTCCTGAGGAAGAAACTGACATACAGACTTATAAAACAGGGATTAGTGGAGATAAACATTCTGCAGTTATAAAAGAGTAAAGGTTTTTCAGGGCTCTAGTTCCATAAACTAAGAGTTATCCCACAATAACAATCTACTGCTCTACTTACCTTGGAGTAACCAATTTTCTCCTTCCATTTAAAAGGTATTTTCCCTATTGATACAAACAATATTTAAATTTTCCTGCATAAATACAATGCAGTGACCTTACCTAGTAGCAAACTGAATGAGTGCATTCTGAAGAGTCTGCCTAATTTCAAGAAGAAAAGATTCATCATCACTTAGTGTATAATACCAATACTGGACATAATCCCTCAAGGAAAACTGGATAACCTAAAACAAAAATACAGTGTTTAAGGATTTAAAAAGTAACAGTGGCAAACTACAACCTAAAAGGATTATTTGAAATTTTCATTTATTCTCTACCTAATAAATTGTGGTAGTAAATAACTGTCTTCATTACAAGAGCATCAATATGCTAAAAAGCATTTCAAAAAATTTTAAGTTATTTTGGTAGCCCAATTCATCCACTGCCCAATTTTTTTTTTTAATTAAAGAATTATCCATGGTGAAGCTCTACCCAAATTCAGGTTAAAGATGGAGCTTACAGAAACATTAATTTCCAATGCTAAAATACAATGAAGAGTTTTAGTTAGTTTGATGGAATGAGATGCAAAATAACATCAAGAGATCCTAATAATCTTGAAAAAAAATGTTTTGAGAGTATAATCAGATTCATTGCAGTCAATGACAAAAATGACATAATTCACTTAATTCTAATACCAGTGATAGTGCCAACAGCATTGTTACCCATTAAATGGCAAATAATACAACGTAATGAATAATTTTTCTGCAAATCAGATAAACTAAATAAGGGTTTATCTATAAAATAATATTTAAAATTTTAAGGTACACATTATTTGCAATAGTCATATAATTGAACATCAATGGAAATATTTTGGGAAAGAATTATTACAATTCTTAAAATATTTTTGAATGAAGCCATTAATATCCATTTTAAAAAGTAACAAAATTAGTAGGAAAAACGTCTGACTATCAAACCACTAGCTTCATCATCAGCTGAAGAGCAAAAATTTTTGAAGAGCAACATTTTAACTCCTAAAACAATTAGGAACACTATCAGATGTCAGTAAATTTTTTTTTTCTCAATGCAAATTCAACCAAAAGGCTTTAATATAAAGCAAACACATATAAATAAGCTCATAAATAAGGCAGCAAGTTTACACAGAGAATCCAAGAACAGCATTATAATGAATTTCCAGCATATTACATAAACAGCAAAATTATTTCTTAGTATTTCAAGAGAAATGCACCCAGCACACAATGTATGGAATTCAAATACCACATACTGAAACTCACTTGCTGGAGAGGTTCATCAATTATATTGGCACCTGTCAATCTTCTATCAATCTTTATAGTTCTGGCTTCCCGTTTCATTTCTTCTAAGCACTGAAAGGAAATCATAATGTTTTATTGCATAGTTTCTTGACTCAAAATCTCTAGAGTTTATTTCTAACTAAATATTCACTGTAACATCCCTGTCATTATCTTCAAGCTAATAAATAACCTTATTTCTTGAGACTCAGGTAGCAAGCAAACACTATGTCTCAAATTAACAAAACTAGATATCCTCAGAAACAATAATCAGCAAACATTAGTTAGAATGTGAGAAACTGAAAATATCAGGTATACTGTTGTCATATTTAAATGAAAATTTAAAACCATAAATTAGTTTTTCAGGTGAGCAAATAAATAATGGTCTTTATTAAACACACCCCCATTTCCTCCTCCTCCCTCCCGGCCCAAAGGAGTATACCAGCTGCCAAATTAACATATGTTTAATTAATTTTTACTGAGGGATGGTTCTCAGCAACTAAAAAGATTAATTTCTTTTTGTCCGTAGTTTTCAGAAAGATCAGTGACCTGGAAATATGGTAAAAAGTAGTAGGATACTCTTTAATTAATACAAACCAGGGCTTCCCTGGTGGCTCAGTGGTAAAGAATACAACTGCCAATGCAGGAGACACAGATTTGATCCCTGATCTGAGAGGATGCCACATGACGCAGAGCAGCGAAGCCCATGTGCCATAACTGCTGAGCCTGTGCTCTGGAGCCGGAGAGCCGCAACTACTGAGACAAAACGCTGCAGTTACTGAAGCTCAAGCACTCCAGAGCCCATGGGCTGTGTAACAAGAGAAGCTGTACATTGAGAAGCCCGCATGTAACAACCAGGAAGCAGCCCCCACGTGCCACAACTAGAGAAAAGCTTACGCAGCGCAAAGAGCCAGCAGAGTCATAAACAGAGAAAAAAAATTTTTACAAGGCACAAATGCATATCAAAAACATATGTTTCAAGTTATCCCATGCAACCTCTAAGATTTTTTCATAAAATATACTTATAAATCATTTTAGAAAAAGCAAATCCACTATTTGTACCATATACCAAAAAATAGATCATAAAGATTTAACCAATCTTGATTATGATTTATTGCTGTTTTTTTTTGATTTATTGCTGTTTAAAATCATAATTCTTAAAATATTTTGCATCATCCTCTCTGTACCATTCAAATGAATAGAAACTATGGATGGCTAAGAAATGATTCAAAAAGAAAAAAGGCAAACAAATCAAACAATCCAAATGAAAAATGGACAGAAGACCTTAATAGACGTTTCTTCAAGAAGACATACAAATGGCCAGCAGGCACATGAAAGGATGCTCAACATCACTCATTATCAAAGAAATGCAAATAAAAACTACAATGAGGTACCACCCACCTTAAACCAGTCAGAATGACCATCATTAAAGTCTACAAATAACAAATCCTGGAGAGGGTGTGGGGAAAGGGGAACCCTCCTACACTCTAGGAATGTAAGTTGATGTTGCCACTATAGAAAACAATATGGAGGTTCCTCAGAAAACTAAAATTAGAGCTACCATATGATCCAGCAATCCCATCCCTGGGCATATACCTGGACAACACTATAATTCAAAAAGATACACGCACGTCTATGTTCACAGCAGTACTATTCACAATAGCCAAGACATGGAAACAAACTAAATTTCCATCAACAACTAAACAAAAGGGGTGTGTGTGTGTGTGTGTGTGTGTATTGACAATAGCCAAGACATGGAAACAAACTAAATGTCCATCAACAACTAAACAAAAGGGGTGTGTGTGTGTGTGTGTGTGTGTGTGTGTGTGTGTGTGTGTGTGTGTGTGTGTGTGTGTGTGTGTGTGTGTACAGACTACTTCATTTGCAGCAACATGGATGTGACTAGAGATTATCATACTAAGTGAAATAAGTCAGAAAGAGAAAGACATATATCATATGGTATCACTTATATGTGGAATCTAATATATGGCACAAATGAACCTATTTATGAACCAGAATGATAGACACAGAGAACAGATCTGTGGCTGCCAAGAGGGAAGAGGGGAAGGAGAGGGAACGACTGGGAGTTCTGGGTTAGACAATGCAAACTATTACACTTAGAATGGATAAACAACAAGGTCCTACTGTATAGCACAGGGAACTGTATCAAATCTGGGATAAACCATAATGGAAAAAACATTTAAAAAAAGAATGCATGTCTGTGTATAACTGAGTCACTTTGCTGTACCGCAGAAATTAATACAACACTAAGACAACTATACTTCAATTAAAAAAGAAAAGAGTCATTACCTCAAAAAGATTTGTGAGCAAATTCAGAGAAAACACATTAACAGGAGTTTTAAAGGGGCAGAGGTAAGTTTCAGAGATTATTTTAAAGGTTACACTAAGTATTAGAAAAACTGTATTTACTTTTCAATATGAAAGTCTTATTAGCACATAATGGACATGTTAATAATTATAAAATTCAGTTACTGGCACTGACTCCAGACCATTTTCTTCTGTTCATACAAGAAAAATCATTACAATCCCACAATAACAACTGGAGGCAATGTGAATCTGAAGCCTACATCTAGTATGGAATTCCAATTTTATTTATATAGTACAATATTTGAAAAGAAAGAAAAACTGCAACGTGAAAGATATAAAATCGAGCTTGAGTTAATAAAATTATAGAAACAACATAGCCTAACTGCAAGTTCTACTTTTCAAGTGAGTTTAAGAAAAAGTGCTTATTTTCCCCACTCTGGTTCCTATGCATTTACTTCATTCAAAACAGTACATTCACTGACATTTCAATAATTGACAAAGACATGATGCTGTGATGCATCAAAATTCTATGTTAAGGCAGCAGGAAAAGATTCTAAATTTTTATGTTTTCCTCAAATTTGCATGCTCACTTTTAACATCAAACATGCATTTTCTGAGTGATTTCTCATAAATTTATAGTGAGCATTAGTGAACTATAGGGAAATGTGCCAAGCCATATAAAGGCAATCACATTATCCACACTACACACAGCAGGACTTTAAGGTTTTACATTCCTTTACCCTCCTTACCTTAGGAATCCCAGTTGATGTTGGAGGGAGAAATGAATGTTCACACTGCTCTAGGTACTTTTCTGAGTTTGTTTTTCCAAACAGGAGAGTAACGACAAAACCCCTGAAAGAAATTTAATTACAGATACAAAACAAAATTTCACTACAATTTAACACATATTTTTCTGATTTAATAGATGGCTGATCATGCACTAAAAAGTCAGTTTGTGACTTTGGCAAGGCAAGGAATTGACGGATTTTGTTAAGTTTTGAAGTTTAAAAAAACCATAAACATTTTGTGAATTTATACAATAATGCCTTTCCAAGTTTTCATTCAATATTATTTCATGAGAATCTCAGGCAACATTTTCAAACTTTAGGATAATAAGCCTTCATTAATTAAGCAGGCAAGCTAATAACCAAGGATAAAGACAAATGAGATGTATTTCTATAGGTCTGCTAACTAATTAGAGAGAAAGGTAACTTGCCACTAGGAAAATAAACAAAGGCTATGCAGGAAAAAGATGATCCAATTTATAATGCATCTGAAATAAGTCTGGAATTTAAAAAGAAACATAAATATATCCCAAAAAGCTATTTTTAAAACTATTATGGAGTCAAACTAAGATAAATACTGGTTTAGAACTATTTTAAGTGTTGGTTAAATGCTATCAGTATTTCCTACATTTAAAATTGACCAAATAAATAGAAGCACTACTGAATAGACAGGAAATCCATAAAAGAAAATTAAATTTTAATTTTATAATGATTGATAGTAATCTTACAATGATTGAAAGAGTATAGTGACAAGAAGAGAACAGTGAAAAATTAAACACAGTCAGCCTCAGCTACTGAAAGGAAGATTTTCAAGGTCCTCTGCTTTTTGTGGCTATCTGCTCCATCACTGCTCTTCAGCACAGGGAGGCGGGTGAAGAAACATATACACCCAAGTCAACTTATAGCCTCAATTCTGTTTCTTTTTTAAAAGGCTGGCCACAGAATTATAAGTAAATTTCACATATCTGTGTTGTATCAAACATTATTACCAAGAATCAAGTTGGTCTTGTATTTCAGTTTTACCTAGACACAATAAAATGCTTATATTATGTTAACAATGTATTTCTAAAAACATTATCATCAAACAGACTGATAAAATGTGCACCTTTGCCCACAGTGTGACAGTAGGAAAGAAAGCTAAGAACAGTCTGATCTTAGAACCTAATTCATAGCTTCAGCCCTGAGGTTTAAGAAAAAACAGGTGCTGTAGAAAACTGCATGACTAAACATAATGGACTGCTATTAAATAACCCACATTGTTATTTAAAGTATCCTAAAATAACAATCCAAAAGGAAAAAAGAAAAAACATCAAAACTTTGAGTGGTTTTCTTTCCAAAGGTTTTCTTTACGTTACAAAATAAGTGATTAGCTTTGACTATAAGCAGAATGTATACATTATCAACACTGTATACAGGTAAATTGTAGAACTCAAAAACTTAAAGTCTGACTAGCCAAAACCATCCCCAATAAAAAAAACACCTGGCAGCTTCCATAAGAAAATGTATTAATTCTCTGACTTGCATGTTAAGTAGACAAAAGAACAAAAACATATTTTTAAAATTTACATAAGAAACAAAACATTAAAACTAAGATGACTTTCAGTTATATTATTTTACTTATATACTTTTATTTATATTATTTTATATACTATAGTAATTGTTTTACTTAACATATACAAAAGCCTGCTTTTGCTTTTAAAATTCATAAGGCATTAAACTATATAAAGCTACATTAAAGAAAGGACCATTGTTCTTCACAATGAGAGCCAAAATAAGAAAGATTTTTGACTCAGGAATTATAATACTTACTGACTGTAACTGAGTAACCTAGGAATGCTCAATTAACTGATCCTGAGATGCTTTGTGGATGCTTGTTAGTATATACATTGAAGTCCCCTTACTGTGGCAGCAAGTTTCAGTGAGATCAATAATTTGGAACAGAGTAACAGATCAATTTATGACATTAAATGAACTTGGAATTTCAGATCCTTTCATGTGCCTTAATGTTTAATCCAGAGTTTTTAGTGGTTCTTCCACAGCCTATCTATATCTCGCCTTATCTAAAAAATTTCACAGAACTTCAACAAAAGTATTTGAAAATTTTACAGAACACCAAAAAGAATAAAAAATTCTTAACTTTTCAAATTACACAAAAAAGTTTATATCACCCTACTGCTGGTACAAATCATCACTACTAATACTTTTATTTCTATAGGTATCTTAATTTTACTATTTTTAACTTTGGTAAAAATAATTAGAAAAAACAGCATTCACAAAGCATACTGCCATTTCTCATGGTCATTCTTCTTTTCTTACTGAGGTCTCACAGTCATGTTTCCATTCTGAACAACTGAACATGACATAACTATAAAATTATCATTGAGAATACTTACCCACCCACAAAGCAGAGGATATAAAATGCCAAATAAAATATTACAAAGGGTCCAAATGTTATTAGAGAAAGGACAATGCCAAGGCTTCCCCATCCCCATATGGACAGACTGGTCTGAAATAAAGCAGGAAAAAAATCTTTTTAATAAATAAGTAACTTTTCATAGGAACTAGAAAAGACGCAACAAAACTTTTTCATAGTTTATATTTTTTCCTTTTAAGCATTTCACAGTACTGTTTCAGTAATTTTAAAAATATTTACTTTTGAAAATACATTACTAGAAATTTATCTCCAACAATATATCAAATCTATAAGTAGAAATAAATTTATAGTAATATCAGCAGTGTTTTTAAAAATCCACTGGGAAAATAAATGAGAAAGAAAAAGTTACATAAACAATTGAATGATATACTTGCATGAGAAATGATAAAGTACTTATAAAAAAACATTTATATACTTATATATGCAATAGCATGTATAAAAGGTACAGATTTTACTTGTTTAGAATACTCTTTTTTAAACTATAGCATGAGACTTTAAAAATTAAAATTTCAAGGTAAGAAATCCATCTCTCACTGAAAGTTATCATATTTTTCTTTTGCTCAAATTGTGTGTAGAGATTTGTAAAATTATAATTACACAACTTACAGTTACCAAAATTTACCATAAATACAACAAATCATCTCTAAAAATTCTCCATCTTTATAAACAAATCCTATTTCGTTTAGAAATACACTGTATTGTCTATTAAAAACATTCATTTTGTTGATGGCAAACTGGATTCTAGCAATTTATTATGAGTAAAATAAATGTGTTCAGTTCAATAAGTTCCTAATCCATTTGCCTTGTACTGTGAGGTATACAAAGGATGTATTTGTCCCACTCCTACCATCAAGGAGCACAGAGAAGAATGCCTTACAGGAATGAAACAATTAGACATTGAACCAAAAGAAAATAATAGAGAGCAATAGAAACCAGAAGAGAATAATAGAAAATATGCTAAACCGAACAAAATTAATGACCAAAAAACTATGGAACAGACAGTAAGTACTATGGATTATGAGAGAAAGTTTTACTTATTTATTCATTCACCAGTCATTGATCGCTTCCTCTGTGCTCTAAGTTCAAAGTGCTGGGGATATCACAAGGAATAAGACATTCTAATAAAGGAAGAAAAACAAGCACACTCTCATGAATTTACATACCTTCATAAGTTTACATTCCAGAATTAAAAAAGACAAAGAAATAAATATATTTAGTGAAAGAGGAGAGTGAAAAAGCTAGCTTAAAACTCAGCATTCAAAAAATTAAGATCATGGCATCCGGTCCCATCACTTCATGGCAAACAGAAGGGGGAAAAGAGGAAACAGTGATAGATTTTATTTTCTTGGGCTCCAAAATCACCGCAGACAGTGACTGCAGCCATGGAATTAAAAGACACTGGCTCCCTGGAAGGAAAGCGATGACAAACCTAGACAGCGTATTAAAAAGCAGAGACATCACTTGGCTGACAAAGGTCTATATAGTCAAAGCTATGGTTTTTCCAGTAGTGTACAAATGAGAGTTGAAATATAAAGAAGGCTGAGGGCCAAAGAATTGATATTTTCAAATTCTGGTGCTGGAGAAGACTCTTGAGAGTCCTTGGAATTCAAGGAGATTAAACCAGTCAACCCTAAAGGAAATCAACCCTGAATATTCATTGAAAGGACTGATGTTGAAGCTCCAATACCTTGGTCACCTGAGGCAAAGAGCTGATTCGCAGGAAAAGACCCCAATGCTGGGAAAGATTGAGCTCAGGAGGAAAAGCAGGCGACAGAGGATGAGATGGTTGGACGGCATCACTGACTCAATGAACATGAGTCTGAGCAAGCTTCTGGAGTTGATGATGGACAGGGAAGCCTGGTTAACTGCAGTCCATAGGGTTGCAAAGAGTCAGACACAACTCAGTGACTAAACAACAACAAAATTAGTATCAGATGAGGATGAAGGCTATGGAGGAAAATAAAGCAATTATGACTGGTCTAAGAAGCTTTCAACGATCAACTAACACATGAACAGAATCTTGGATAAGATTTAAGGAGAATTTATACTAGTCTTCCTATCCCCAAATAGTACTTTTCCATTTATTCATATCTTCTTTTATATCCCTCACTAAAGGGCTTTTTTATTTTTTCTTCTACATAAGGCCTACACAACTCTACTTCATTCATACTTTTATTATCTTTTTTCCTCACCCCAGCCACTCGTCTTTTTAACCAGACGACAATGCCTGTTGATGAAGTTTCTACTCTGCCTTCCTGATCAGCTCCTTGGATCAGCTGGGGATACTACTGCACCCCTAGAAGTGGTCTTCCCTGACCTTTTTTTTTCCTGTCAAAATTCATTTTTATATATAGAAAATAAAAACTTATTCCAGTTGTTATACTTGAAGTTGCTAATAGACAATTTTTAATCACTAGCTAATAAAAAAAAAGTATTTAGCACCATTTGCTTACAGGCCTTTCAGACTTTGTTCTTAAAGTTTCTGAACTTTCCTGTCTGTAAAGTAGAGGAGCTGCTAAGCTACACGAGGAACCCTCTCTGGAACAACCAGCGAGAAGGTAGAGCGGTCAATAAACATTCAGCCTGGTGACTGGGCTGTCCAAGACCCACCCTCTCCACTCCAGCTCAGGAGGGACCTGCGCCTCCACTCACTGAGGTATGAAGAGCCCCACCGTTAGGAGCTGGGAAGACCGGTTTTAACAGCAAGTAAGAGTAAATCTCTGGCACAGAGGCTACTGTCTTTAATATCCTATGATTTTAGTAAATTCTATACACAGCTTGGATTTAGTTCAATTTTTTCTGAAATGAAACACAATAAGGTTAAACTACTCTGCTAGGTAAGTATCTGCTGGTTTGGTGTCCTTACAGAATATGAAAACATAATCCAAAGTATACTCAGAATACTGCATTATTTAAACCAAAGTCTAACAAAATGTCTACAAATAGAAGCAGCTAATGAAACCAAAACCAAAGTTATGACGAAGGAGACTCTTTCACTTGAAGCTGTGTCGCTTAGAAAACTCAAAGCCATTCAAGGGTGGTGAAGGCAGCACCTTTAGATAATTTCAATCAGGACCAGAAATCAGCACTTTTCAGAATAGTCCACAGAAGTGTTCCAAAGACTCTTATGCAAAAGAATGCCAAATCTTCTGCATCAGTGAGCAGTAGTGTCCATCAGAACTTTCTAATAACTCAAAGACAAAAGCAAGTCCAACTTGATCAGATGTCAAAGGAATGGAAGGTGGACTATCAGGTCACCCTTACAGCTTCTGCTGGCTTTTTACTATATGCTGTTCACCAGTGTGAGTCAGGTGGACTTCTGTAGGAGAAGTGTTTGGTGGCCAGGACCTCTTTTGAGCATTTCTTCCTAACTGGAATACACAACAGATAAGGAAGAGGGATTCTCAGGTAACACTAGTAGTAAAGAACACACCTGCCCAAAGCAAGAGTCAAAAGAGAAACAGGTTCGATCACTGGGTCAGGAAGATCCTCTGAAGGAGGAAACAGCAATCCACTCCAGTATTCTTGCCTGTAAAATTGCACAGACAGAGGAACCGCGAGGGCTACAGAACATAGCGCTGCAGAGTCAGATACGACTGAAGCAAGCACAGCATAAGGAACAGGGGAGGTAATATATGGAAGCTACTCTGTCCAGCTCAAAATGAGTTAATTAAGCCCATATATGCATTCAAGAAGACCATGGATCCTCTAGCTGTGGACAGGGGCTGATGTGGTCATCCAGAATCGACACTGTGGACCACAGCAGTGTTTTCCTATACAGCTCCAAAAACCCTGGAGATTCACTGGATCCAATGGCCCATAGATAAAATGCATGGGAATGGAAAGAGACAGAGCTCCCACCAGCATCTTCTGAACTTCTTTCTTCCTCTGACTGATGTACTTCAAGAGACTGTCAATAACCACAACCCCATCATTGTCACATATCCCTTCCCACATGTCCCAAGGCTCACTCCCAGAGGGGTGGGTGTACAGCCTGAAGACTAGGTGAGACCTCGAGAGAATACGAAGTAGTTCATCAGCTATGTGAGCAAGGGTGACAGCATGCCTCCATCTCTGAGAAGTCTTTGGAGAAGGAGAAGACAGTCTTAGGAAATAAACCTTCATTTCAAAAAAAGAAACTCTAGATGGTAAGCAGACCAGATCAATTCTGCTTGAACTTACACAGCAGCTCCTGAGCAACAATATCCCTAACAGTCGTGAGACAACAGATTGATCCGATGGTTCTGAAGTCCCAGATGCCTCATAGCACCGTCACGATGCTGGCCTGCTCGAATATGGAATGGTGATGTGGTCTCGGTTTGCTGCTGAGGCCAAAGGCTAGGAAATTGAGGGCAATCACTCAATGAAACCTGAGGGTCAGACCTTCTGAAATTTTGTACCAATCATAGCTGGATGTTGGAAAGCCATGTAAAAACCATGGCTATCTCTGGACCCCCAACCACATCCCATGGAGAAGAAGATCCCATGGTAGAAGATTCAAAGTCCCTTGAGAGTAAAAAATTTGCCTGATGACGTCCATGAGTAAAGAGCAGGTGAAAGCTGGTGGTGGAGGGAAGGGACTGCAGACATGCCACAAGCAGGGCCAACAGCCAACAGCCCCACTGGACCTACCACTACTTCATCCTGGTTAAGGTAAGACCTAGGCTACAAGACTCCATGTTTGGGGAACCAGGCTGTGCCTCCCCTGACTTCTAAAAGTAGAAGAGCTAAAAGTAGACCATGGTGGCTTAGAAGAAAGTACAGAGCGTTTCAGTTCCTCTGACAATGCTTCCGCAGAACACCCGGTTACCTGATCCATACTACAGCACTGCGAGATGGCCAACTACAAGAAACAGATGCTATTTCAACCCAGATCCACTCAAATAAAACTTTCCACTGACTTTCCTGAAAAGAGTTCTTATGAACTCTCAGGAAAGCCAAACGAGACCACGAGCCAGATAATTTATCCGATCTACCTTCTTCAATGAGATTTGACCCAATATTAGCAATACTACTCCTTCTTTACAAAGTTATATTTGTGCTTGCTAGCCAGTTTTCAAAGCTAAACAACT